TACACACGGAGCAGGGGCGAGATTCAAGCTTCCAGCCCAGTGGGGGGGGGGGGGACCGCGCTACCCATAAGCCACCATGTAACTGAGAGCAGCGCTTTTATTGCTTATCTAATTACTAGGCATCGTCATTCTACGAGAGTTTTGCTACTGGTGTTGAAACGCCACAGAAGCAAGGCCGAACATTGTGCTCGCACTAATTTACCATTATGCTCGTTACCAGTTTACTGTGTCCATCCCGCATTTCCGCTGCTGACTGTTATCAGGTTGTTAGCGCGTCCCTGAAACTTTACTAGGACCTTTTTAAGGCAACACAACTGTACGTCAAAATAATCTCCTATTTGCAAAATATCACTATATGTTCCAAATTAATGATTATTAAATACCCAATTAAGTAAGAAGTTGAAAAAATCATGACAATTTATCACTCTAAAGACAATAATTAATACATTCATGTTGAATGGTTACATATAGCATATCTTTAAATAATATCTATAATGTCGTACTTTTTTATTTAGCTGATGAATTAATACTAAACAAGTGTTAAATTGTTCCCATGTACAGAGCTAGATATTCCTCTGTAGTTGTGTATATGTGTTTTTAAAAATATTAATTAGCTCGTGGGAAAATACACATTATCACATATTAAAATATATACGTTAATTAAAAATATATGTCGTGTAACAGCATTTCATAATTCCAATTGCCGCTCGTTGGCACCACCTATTGGGTAGTTAAGACATTACATTCAAAATACATCGTGTTTTCATTATGATCTACATTTATCTATTTCCGTGAGTATGTCTTACAGTAAACCATTATTTCTTTATAAGCGCGGTTAGTTTTAACTCCTCCTAAACATCTCATGTATCCTGTATTCAAACAAAGTTTTATGTATAATTAAATAAATTATTTGTAAGACTAACATAACATAACCGGGTACAGCCATCCTTAGCTATGGACTTTTCTACTACACATTTCACTCCACAGCGTTATAATAGGCGTATAACACGATAAAAATTAATATTACCATAGAGTTATTTTAGATTTCGCAGTCGATTCTTATTTAGATTACTATGACCATCTACCGGTGTGGAAGAGTAACTGCAGTCAGACGGTATGAAAGACTGGGGGATGTATTTCATATTCTGTTTACCTCCAGTTTGCGTGGTGAATTCATAGTAGCCTATTGCAATATTAAAAGACGAGAGGGTGGAAAATTACGTGTAAAAAGCAAAAGTATTTTTAAAAATGGGTTTCTATAATTACACCAAAATATAGTGTTTATTACGTCCCTATCATATATCAAAAAACACAAATATTTCGACCCTTTGATATTGTGATACTAGTTATAATTGATCTCATAATAATGGGTAAGGTAGCTTGCGCGCTGCACTGTGGGATATGTAGCTTGGCATGACGTCGCACGTTTTCGTCTTGCTGACGCGCTGTCAAGCTTGCGGAGCTGCGGCTTGGGCTTTGCGGGATATATGTAGGTCTGCGCAGCGCCGCGTACATAGTGTTTCGGGTTTGACCGGCGCCGGTTCCACAGCTGATCACTCGATATGTGCCTCGGTGCAGAATAGCGCGGTGCCAGCAGCGTTTCTCTTCCTCTCCAACCTCCGATGCTTCTTCAGCCATGTGCGGCACGAAAATCTGGCTGCGGGGGGAGTGGTTGCTACTTTCTTTGGATCTTGTCAGAATCAGACTCGCAGGTGTGTGGTTTTCATTGCCGTGCAGCTGCAATGACACGGTGTACGCACTCAGATTAATACCCATCTGCCAGAGGTTTATTGTTAAAGGCTCGGGGAAACCCGCTTATCTTCAGTGTAGCTCAGTCGCACTGCGCCCTAT